CTCTCACCATACATAAACGACACAAAATTGCCTATTTTGAGTTTACATTTCTGATACAATGTGATATATTCAGTCCACCTTATTAGGCGTATCCTTTTCAGGAGAGGTGAAATGAGTTGTATAAATTCAAAGACTGTGCAAGCGGTCGCAGAGGTCACGATTTCCGGTCCATCTGGCACGAAGCCCGGAGGTACGTCCGCCACGAGGGTCAAGACACAAACATATCAGCACATCCGTAGAGCGAACGTAAAAGAATTAACACAATACACTGCGCATTAATCTCGCTGCAGAATTTAAACCTTGGTCTCTCTGAAAGAGGTTGCCCTGGATTGAGGAACATTAAAAAAGAGAACCCGGACATGCGTTTGCTTTGAGAACATTTAAGTCATGAGTGAATAGGCTTGGATTTTAGTCTTTCCACAGTGAACATTGCAGCTCTCTGTAAGTTAGTGGTTACCTATGAGTAACACGTGCTTTAAAGAAGATCCCAAAACCAACTCACCACCTCACCTGCGTTTATATGATCTGGCATAGAGAATTAACCAGCAAAGTCCGTGAGCTACATATAACTCAGATTTGGCTTATTTTTTAATCGTATTTTTTAAAAGCAAGTCAGAAACAGATGCTATTGCAACAGACAGGACTAGGTTGCAACATGGAGTTTGCGAGATGTCACACATCCAAGGACCCGGGTTCCAGTTCCAAGCAGAACTACGGGTATACATCTGCCACGCGGTGAAAAGTCACGGACAGCCGACTGTCCCACGTTAATAGATTTATTTGCATGTAAAAGATCCTCAAGCCTAAATGACGCATCTGAGCTAAATTCAAATAGACTTTTTCTCGCCCAAGAAATACCTCGTTTTTCTGCTAGTTGGTGAAGGAACGTAGCGAAATTTGCGTGGTCAGACGGAAAAGCGGCCCTGATGGCCCGAGTCTCGCCACGTAAAATAAGGCATCAATGCAATTCAATTCAATTCAATTCAATTCACAGTCCGGATCCCGGTTCCCGGAGTTAGCAACGTGCCCTGCGCTTCCGGGAGGACGGCCTCCGTCGTCGGTCATTGCCTCATATTTTCGGTGACAGTTAAGACCACGTGAGACGCAAATGTAATTGTATTAGCAGCCGAAATAAACTAAGAGGTTTTTTCAAAACCTCTAAAGACATGGAAATCAACAGCCTTCAGACCCCTTGTGCGCGGTTGTACCAACGCACGGCCGTAGCTCTTGGCACAGTAACGTCAATCTCTCAAAGTCGAAATAATCTCTAACTGAAAGTTTTTTCTTTTTCCTTTTTGATTCACACGATCAAAAATCCTCCATTAATGCATTGGTGTACCATCATTTAATATCTCGTCGTAAGCGTAATTACATCATTACAGTCTAATTTAATGAAAACGTCATCACAGTATTTATGACTTCATTATGAGTGGCTCACAATTTACAAATTATTCTTTTTATCTGTTACATTTTAATAAGGCATTTTGTGAAAAGGTTTTTTATTAGTACAAAGTCTAAAACACCCATATAAGCTTTATAAACTTTTTTGTTGTTTTTGTAAGAATGATAACATTTCATTAACATAAATTGAAGAGTTTGCAAGTTTTGAAAAAACGTAAACTGCTCGGTTTCGAACAGTTTAAGGAGTTTTCATAGTTCCTATCGATTTGCTTTTACTGATAATCTTAAGCCACGAATATCTATCAGCAATACGTATTCCGTTATTCCTTCTTCAAACTATACCAACTTCCATCCAAGGAGAAAAAGCTCGTCTTGAGGTACGACTCACCAGACTCGATCCTCGAGTAAGATTAGCTCGTTCGAGTGAAAGTGGAATATTACTGCGCTTTAACTAAATGCTTAAAATGAAGCAAAAACACAAGAGAAGTAGCAGGACAAGCATATTAAGAATAATAATAAAAATACAGAAAATTATGGAATTGTATTGAGAATCTCAATGTTTCTGTGCGTGCACATCAATCCATCTGTTAAAAACACTACTGTTTTCTAGTGCTCGAATGGCATTTTCCTTCTAGCTGACATTGGCTCTCGTGCCTTGTCTATTCTTTATAATACAATCTCGTTCCTCCTCTCGTATTCTGTCGTCCAATCCCCTGTCCTCAATTGACCATTCTCTGGCCTTCATTTATCGTCCGTTCCCCGCCCTCCTCTCCCGTTCTTTGCCCTGGATCTCCCTGCACACGCCCCCATCGCCTGACGAAAGGGGCCGAGTCGCGCCCAGGATGCAGACTGCCGCCGCGGCCCAAATACTCCCGGCAGCGCTTAAATCACATTCTCTGCGCGGTGACCTTCATTCCGGGCATTATCGTACTTTCTCTTTGTAGAATCCGCCACAGCTCCACAGTTAAGTAACAGAACAACCGCCAGGCGCAGCGTCTCTCTTGAACGCACCTGCGATGCTGTGCGTTTCCCTCTGGTATTTGACCATGAGAGAAGTCATAAGAAGATCAAATCGTGTTCATAGAAATTTCGTTAAGCTTATTTGATTCAATAACAATATCCTGTGCAAATTAATAAATACCTGTCTTGTTCACGTATTACAATCCTAAAGAAATATCTTTATATTTCACAAACATTTTCTCACTGTTCTAACTCAGAGAAAAAGAACTAAAAATATAAATCTCTGGTTAAAAAGTATTTTACAATATTGCAATTCAAACGTACAAGATACACTATCTTAAATAGGTATTATTATTAATATTGTCATAATGTAATTGAAAGGTGCAATCGTTCCAACTGATAGCATTTATGGTTATAACATCACTGCCCATTGTATGAACTCTTTGAACTTGGTGATCCACATTCTTCAACTGAAAAGAAACGACCGGGACAGGAATAAAATATAGATCATAACATAATTCATAATTAATCGTTTTTCATAACCTAAAAATAACCAATATATTTTGTTAAAGATACCGTCAGGAGAATGACATGGAAAAACAAACATTATCAAGATCAGTCACGATCTTAATCACCATTCCAGTATTTGCTGGGACGGCAAAAAAAAGAACAATAGCAATCGTTCTCTCTCCACTATCCTTCCCCATTTCACCAATATCCACAAAAATAAATTCCAGTTATACGATCATCTTTAAAATACCATCAGAAAAACGTTATGGAAAGAATAGAACATCATGTGAGGCAGTCATTTTTTAAATCATTGATCGTTAGATCCTTCTCCGTGAACGTTTGATGGGGAATATTGACCAGCTGTTCTCGGTAACTGGTCGTAGACCACCATCAGGGAAGTGTGTTTTCGAAGATGAAACGGAAGAGCCAACTTTCATTCATTCATTTTTAACACTGTCTACAAAAATACATACCAGTTGTCGCAAACATAGTCATCAACGTTCCATCAGGAAAAATTTCGTCTTAAAGTTTCACAAGTCCTATCGACTTCTCCAAACACTGAAAAGTTATCACTGCTATTGTTTTGACCATATAGATGTTTTGTGCACACTATTGCATAAAACCTATAACCCGTGGAACAGAGAAGCCTTCGTTTTACAATCCGTGACCTCAGGCAGCGTTCTGTTCGTATATTGAGGATCTTGCCAACAATGTTTTTTAATTCAACCCCTCCTCCACCCCACGGCCGGGTACTTAAGCCCCTCGGCTCGCCCGACC